AAAAATAATTGGTTATGATATTTAAAAATATTAATTTATAAAATAATTTTAATATATTAAATAATAAATATTAATTCTTTTATTAATTATTAATTGTTATAGAGACAATTAAATCAAATAGTATAACCATAACCACAGCTTTGTGTCAACAGCATTATTAGGAAAATTGTTTTATATAGTTCAAAAATATTTTATATTGTTCAGCTTGTATTCAATCCCATTTGATTGTCCTATCCTTTTCTCGCACTGGGAATAAACCTTTTAGATTTCGAGCCATGTGGATGCAGCATTCAGATTTTTCAAAGCTTGTTGAGAACTTCTGGTCTAATAATAACCAATCTCTTGGCCGAGCATCTCTGGACTTTTCCTCTCTTCTTTCCCTTGGAAGAGACATGTCTTTGGAAATGTTTTCAAGAAAAAGAAAAGGATCCTAGCTAGGCTCGAAGGAATTGTAAAAGCCTTGTCTAGTCATAATTCCCATAATCTTCTTCTACCCCATAAGAGCCTGGTTGAGGAATATCAAACCATCCTTCTAGAAGAAGACCTATGGAGAATGAAATCTAGGATTATTTGGCTTAATGATGGAGATTGCAATTCTAAGTTTTTCGACCTTAGCACAATTTCAAGGAGGAAAAATAATAGGATTCACTCCATTTTTTATGATTCTAATAATGAGATCACTTCTCCATCCGAAGTTTGTAATTATATTAATAACTCTTTTTTCAATCTATACACTTCAGAAAGAGAGTCTTGCCCTATTAACTCGAATCTTGATCCTAATTGGCAGCCTCCATCTATCTCTCCCAACGCCATTCATTCTCTATGCTCAATACCAACCGAGGATGTGATCTTTAAGGCCTTACACTCCTTACATCCTCTCAAGTCCCAAGGGGGAAGGATGGCCTTCGAGCCATCTTCTTTCAAAATTTTTGGTCTTGTGCCAAAGATATCATTTGTAATACTGTCACTTCTTTCTTCCAATCTGGTTCCCTTCCTCCCCCTAATCTCAATCAAACAATTGTTACCCTTATTCTGAAGATCCAACATCCATCTCTTGTTTCCCATCTTCGTCCCATAAGCTTATGCAACACCATATACAAACTTTTCTCAAAACTCTTTGTTATTCGACTTCAACCCTTTTTAAACAACATCATCAGTCCCCTACAATCCAATTTTAGCGAAGGAAGACATGTAGTGGACAATGCCATCATTGCCCAAGAAATTGAGTCTGCCATGCACAAAAAAAAGGGGGCAAAATGGGTGAAATAGCGATTAAAATTGATCTCAATAACGCTTTTGATAGTCTTGAATGAAATTTCATAACTAATTCGCCTTGATCACCTTGGTTTTCCATCAATATGGCTCAGGATGATCATGACATGCATATGTACAACCTCTACTGCCATTTGCATTAATGGTTCTCTTTTTAACGAATTTCTCCCATCTCGTGGTATTAGGCAAGGTGATCCAATGTCCTTATACATCTTCATTCTATGCATGGAGTGCTTTTCCTTTCTTGCTAAAACAAAATGCCAACTTGATTCATGGAAACCTCTTAAGAAATCTAGGAACAGCCCCTCATTCTCCCATATACTTCTTGCTGATGATATCTTATTATTTGGAAAAGCTAACCACTCCATTGATTTGGGCATCAAAGATGTACTTGACCATTTCTGATCTTGCTCTCTGGTCTTGTTAGATTTCATGTAAATAGAATTATTGATTAGTTGTCCAATGATCAAGGCTAATCCCTTGAATCACGTCAGTAGCATTTTTCTTTCCTTTATTTCTTTTACCATTGCCAATGGTCATCTTCTCCCTTTCCATTTATGTTTTTCTTGCCGTTAATGTACACTTGTATATAAACTTGTATTCCATTCATTGAATAAATTGAGGGAAATGCTATCTTTTCACATGGTATTAGAGCAAAATTGATCCTCCAAAAATTCTTTTGCAGCCAGCACCATGGTTGAAAGTGAATCAACCAAAATTCTGGACAGCTTCATTGGCAGCAAGAATCAGTCACAGTCTTCAACTATTACAATTCCTCTCGATTCTTGTAGGGAATTCATGACCTTACATTCCTCTCTCAATAATGCTTCTGGTAAGAAATTCTTGACCCTGCGAAATTGGATTTTGGACAGTGGTGCATTTGATCATGTAACAAGTTATAAAAATAATCTTGAACAATTGGATCCTCTTTCTACACAAAACTATACAAAAATTCCCAATGGGAACCTTGTCTCGATTCATGGTATTGGTCTAGTTTCTTTAGCTCCCAATATTAATATTGAAAATGTTTTATACATACTCGACTTTACATGCAATCTCATATCTGTAAGTAAGCTCACTAGAGATTTAAATTGCACTATGATTTTCTTCTCAAGTTTCTATGTCTTGCAGGACATTACTACAAAGGAACTAATTGGAATGGGTGAATTGCACAATGGTCTTTATTACTTCAAGCCAATAAATGAGACTCCAACTTTGAATGCTACAGTTTCACCTTCCATGGAACTTTGGCATCAAAGATTGGGGCATGCATCGTTTGATCACTTATCTTTATTGTGTAAAAATATTTCTTTTGACCTTAATTCCTTTCCTAAATATTGTGATACTTGTCATCGAGCAAAACAAACTAGAAGCATTTTTCCAATTAATCATCAATGTGCTGAATCGCTTTTCTTTCTTATTCATTGTGATATTTGGGGAAGATACCATACCCCTTCACATTCAGGGGCACATTATTTTCTCACCATTGTCGATGATTATACCCGTGCTACTTGGGTTTTTCTTATGAAACATAAATATGAAACTTATTGATATCTAATCATGTTTATTAATATGGTTAAAAATCAATTTGGATTGCAGGTCAAACAAGTGCGCTCAGATAACGGGCAAGAATTTCTTTCTAATTTTATGCAGGCTTTCTTTCTTGAGCAAGGGATAATACATCAAACTTCTTGTGTACATACTCCTCAACAGAATGGAGTTGTTGAGAGAAAGCATCGACATCTCTTGAATGTTGCTCAAGCTTTACATTTTCAAGCAAATTTGCCCATATCTTTTTGGGGAGAATGTGCTCTCACCGCAGCCTACCTAATTAATTATACTCTTACTCCATTGCTTGCTGGTAAGACACCATATGAACTTCTCTTTGGTAAGTCACCCACCTATTCTCATCTTAAGGTATTTGGTTGCCTTTGCTATGCTTGCCAATCACCATTGCCTAGTGACAAATTTTCCTCTTGGTCTACCAAGTGTGTTTTCCTTGGCTACCCTCACGGTAAGAAAGGATATTAGGTCTTTGACCTTGATACCAAACAAATATTTGTATCTCATGACATTATTTTCTATGAAAATATTTTCCCATTTAAGGATGAAGGGAACCGTCCTATTAATGAAAAGGCTTCGGTAGCCAGTCCTTCACCATCATACTATGATGAGGATATTGAGACCATTCCAAATACAAATTTGGATAGCCACTTGAAGAGAACATCCATGCAAAATGCAAAATCAAGTGATGATGATACAAGTAATGGAGGCATACAAGCCGTTGATCATGCACCAAATGTTCCAGCCACTAATGGTACAACTTCTCCAAATGCAAATGAATTGCACTCCAGCAAGGATGCCACTAATTCAGGCATAGATACCACATTGACTTGCTCCGACAATCGAAAGCTTGATGATGTGCACAAGCCTCATTTTGAGTCAATATTTGATAGAGCCCATAAAGCAGATGAAACTATCCAACACAGATCGAATGAACATTATGGGGCAAAAGACAGTGATATCACAAATACTACTAATTCTCACCAAGAAACAACAAGACCCCAACGTGAGAAAAAGAAGCCATCCTATCTAACAGACTATATTTTAAATGGAGTTCAAGTGCAAAAATCATCAAGAGTCCTTGGTACATGACATCCCCTTTCTCACTTTATTTCATATGAAAAATTCAATATGCCTCACTGTTGCTTTCTAGTTGCCATCTCCAATGAAGATGAGCCGAAATCTTTTTCTCAAGCCATTCAAAATCCAAAGTGGAGACAAGCAATGGAAGATGAAATTGCAACTCTTGAAAAAAAATCATACTTGGACCTTGGAACCTCTTCCTCTCGATAAACAACCCATAGGTTGCAAATGGGTATACAAAAAAAAATACAAAGCTGATGGCACCATTGAAAAATATAAGGCCTGTCTAGTAGCAAAGGGTTTTACACAAGTTGAAGGACTTGATTATCATGATACTTTCGCCCCTGTGGCCAAGCTAGTTACAGTAAGATGTCTTTTAGTAGTGGCCTCAATTCGAAATTGGGAATTACATCAACTTGACGTGCACAATGCTTTTCTTCATGGTGATCTTGACGAAGAAGTATGTATGCAACTACCACTTGGATATGGCAACAAAGGAGAACAACAAGTATGTCACTTGAGAAAATCCCTCTATGGACTCAAGCAAGCATCAAGAAATTGGTTTGCAAAATTTACCTCTGCTTTACATTCCTTTGGTTTTCAGCAATCATTATGTGATTATTCTTTGTTTACTTACCGACAAGGGAACAATTTCCTTGCGGTTCTCGTCTATGTTGATGATTTAATCATTGCAGGAAACAATTCTACACTTTGTTAGCATTTGAAAGACTTTCTCAATTCTCAATTCTCAATTCCACATTAAGGACCTTGGAAGGTTAAAGTACTTCCTCGGCATTGAAGTTGCTTGCCATCCTTTGGGGATCTTTCTTTGCCAAAGAAAATACACCCTCGACATCTTATTTGAATCTGGGATGCTAAGTGCTAAACCTGTTTCTTTTCCAATGGAGCAAAAGCTCAAGCTCACTCTTGATGGTGGCTCCCCACTCACAAACCCCATGCAATATAGACGACTTGTTGGGCGACTCATATATTTGATCATTACTTGCCCAGAAATATCTTTTTTTGTTCACATACTTAGTCAATTCATGCAAGCTCCAACCCAGCTCTGTCTTGATGCAGCAATGAGTGTGCTTCACTACTTAAAGTCTTCGCCAGGGCAAGGCATTTTTTTATCTTCTTCAAGCTCACTACAACTCTCTAGTTTTTGTGATTCTGATTGGGCTAGTTGCCCCACCACTAGAAGATCCACAATTGGTTATGTCACAATGTTAGGGACATCTCCAATTTCTTGGAAAACTAAGAAACAATCCACAATCTCTCGTTCATCGGCTGAAGCGGAGTATAGGGCCATGGCATTCATTGTTAGTGAACTTCTATGGCTTAAAGCCTTATTGCACACTTTAGGAGTTGATCATTCAAAGCCTATGAAACTATATTGTGATAACCAAGCAGCCTTTCACATTGCATCCAATCCAGTCTTCCATGAACAAACAAAGCACATTGAATTGGATTGTCACTTTATTCGTCATTGGATAAAATCATGTGCAATCACTCCCTGTCATATTCCCTCCAAATCTCAACCTGCAGATATATTCACAAAGGCTCTTGGAGGAGAATTTCAACTTCTTCTTTGCAAGTTGGGCATTTCAAATTAGCATGCTTCAACTTGAAGGGGGGTGTTAGATTTCATGTAAATAGAATTATTGATTAGTTGTCCAGTGATCAAGGCTAATCCCTTGAATCACGTCAATAGCATTTTTCTTTCCTTTATTTCTTTTACCATTGCCAACAGTCATCTTCTCCCTTTCCATTTATGTTTTTCTTGCCGTTAACATACTATTGTATATAAACTTGTATTCCATTCATTGAATAAATTGAGGGAAATGTTATCTTTTCACAGGTCTATCTGTAAATAACCTCAAATCCAAAATCCTTTCTTCTCCAAATGTCAGCTTGGATTCTGGTAACTCAGTGTGCTGTATCCTTGGCTTAAAAATACCACTTGTTTGGGGAAATATCTTGACTTTCCCATTGTCTCCAAGAATATTTCCAAATCTAATTTTGATTTTATCCTTGATAAGGCTAAGCAAAAGCTCTTGGGGTGGAAAGCTATGTTCTTGACACCTGTAGGAAGGCTGACCTTGATTAACTACATCCTTAGTCCCCTTCCATAGCATGTTATGTTAATGTAACCTTCCTCGTACAGGCACATGTAATTCTCTTGATAAATTTATTTGTAACTTCCTTTGGTTGGATGATCCTAACATATGCTAGCTCCACCTCATTAATTGGGACACTGTCTACCTACCTAAGTGACATGGTGGACTAGGTATACGGAAGTGTAACAAATTAAATGAAGCCATTTTTAAACTGATTTGGCGATTTCATTCAACTCTTCACTGTCCTTGGTCTACTCTTCTCAAAGCCAAATATAGCTTTTACAAATATGCAAAACACCTCTCACACATTAGGAAAGCCATGGCTAAACTCTACCCATCCTTTTTGAAGGGAATCTCATGGAACACTAATGTAAGGGCAAGTCCGAGGTGCCCAACCTTGGATGTACGATGGTAATTCTTTTACAACCAGAGTGAAGAATAAATCCAGAGCTTCCCGCTCGAACAGCTGCACAGCAGTTATGATGGACATCCTCGCATATAAATATCTCTCAATTTCCTGGTCCCGAAATAACCGTCTGGAGATACACATTAGATCCCGAGTATCTTGCTTGGCATGCCACGTGGGTTCCTCATTGGAACCTATAAATACCCCTCAAGGGCCACGTCAAAAAGTTGATTGAAACCAACCCTAAGCTCCTTTTATCTCCACTCTAGAGGTAGCCTCGATTATTGCTGACTTAAGCATCGGAGTGTCTACCCCGAGGACCCACCTCGGGGCTTTCCAGGTCAATCCGGAGTGCAGACGTGGACTGAAGAAGGACATCTGGTTTGGTGCAGTTACACTTGGTGCCGTTTGTGGGAATCCAAACTGAAAGCTCCCTTGTTGCTCTTATCATGGTTAAAACTAGGTCAGTCTGAGTTGGAACCTCATCTCGGCCTCTTGGACGAGGTCAGGTCCCCAACAACCTTCCACCTCATCTCCCACCTCCAATCCCGAATACATTCCCTCATGTTGACCATGCGGAAGGAGGAGATGAAAATCAACCACACAATTCGGCTCACAATTCAGCCTCTACTGCCAACCAAGACGTAGTTACAGCTCAGCTCGCTGCCATGCAACAACAGTTTGGTGTCTTTCAGCTAGTGCTGGCTCAACTATTAGCTCGGAACAATCCTGGTGATCCACTCATCAACCTACTCAATCCTGCTCCACAACAAAATCCTGAACCAGTTCAGCATGCTCCTATTATTAGTGAATCTCAGGGCCAATCTCACATCGCACCAGTTCAGCAACCCCTTCATGATGATGTCACTCGATGTCTAGACAGCTTAGAAAAGCTAGTGGCTGAATAGCGAGGTGCCCCACCTCCACACCCTGCTGCTGACTCCGTACCCCACCCTCTGAACACCAACATTACACTGGAACCCTATCCCACTGGCTTTAGGATACCACAACTTGAAACTTATGATGGGACGAAGGACCCTGATGATCATCTACATGCTTTCTACTCTTGCATGCAAGCAAAGAAAGCCTCTGATGCGTTGATGTGCAAAATCTTTCCCTCTACCCTCCGAGGTAATGCTCGAACCTGTTACTACAGTCTACCTCCGAGGTCAATAAGCTCTTACACAGAAATGGCATCTGCTTTTGCCACAAAGTTTTTCAGTAGAAGGTTGATCAGGAAAACCACTTTTGAGCTGATGCGAGTTAGGCAGAGGGACAGAGAGTCTTTGAAGAATTTTATGAGTAGATTCAATGATGGAGTACTGGAGGTTAGCTCTTTCGACCAGGCTGTGAGAATTAAAGCTGTAATCTCGAGTCTTAGCCATGAGAGATTCAGAGATAGTCTGCTCAAACATCCTGCCACCACCTTCAACGAGGTAAATGATAGATCATTGAAATTCATAACTGCTGAAGAATATGCCTTGTAGCAGAAACTAGCCCCCTCTAAGAACCAAAACCCAGACTGGAGAGATGATAATCCAAGCAGGAAGCCAATGAGGATAGCACAGAACCGAGGTCCAATGTTGACCCCCGTACCAAGATTCGGAAGGCGGAACTCCACACTCCCACAACAGTCTGAAGGTAAACCTCCAGTTAATTGGACTCCTTTTAATTTGTCGCGATCACAAATATTTATGCAGATCAAGAATAAGATGGATTTAAGGCGTCCTGGCCCAATGAAAACTACTGCTGCTAGCCGAGATCATACTAGATATTGTGATTTTCATTAAGATCACGGTCATACAACAGAGCAATGCAACAGCTTGAGGTCTAAACTGGAAAGTCTTGCCCAGAAGGGACTGTTGAATGAGTACATTCAGAGAGCTGAACAGCCATGGTTTGTCAGAGAATAAGGGCCACAGCCTCAAGGAGTCCGTAACCGGCAAACCGGCAAGGTGTGGGATATCAGCAAAGCCCACCTTCGCTCCCACCACCAACTAGAATCATACACATGATCACGGGAGGCCTGGAAGCCGGTGGACTGAGCTCTAAGTAGTGAAAGTTGTATGTCAGAGAGGTTAAGCATTAGAACCGAGCTCAGAAGTGAAAGTTTGACGATGATGAGTGGAAGAATCAACCCATTACCTTCACATCTGTTGATCTCGATACAGTCGTCACACCTCACAATGACCCTCTAGTCACTTCTGTCACGATTAACGATTGTGAGGTGTAGCGTGTCCTTGTTGACACAAGGAGTGCACCAGACATCATGTACTTCCATTGTTTTGAGAGTCTTGGGTTGGATCCAGCTTTGTTGCAGCGGTATGATGGTCCCATCTACGGATTCAACAACCAACCAGTCCTAGTTGAAGGAGTCCTCACCATGAATGTTGCATTTGGAAGTGGCCGAAGTTATGTGAACCTTTCAGTTAGGTTTCTGGTAGTCAAGATGGCGTCCTTTTTCAACGTCGTCATTGGCCGACTCACAGTGACTGAAATCTGAGCTGTGGTTTCCCAGTCTCACATATTCATGAAATTCCCAACTCCTATGGGAATAGCAACGCTGTAAGGCAACCAGGAGGTGGCCCGACATTGCTATATCACCTTGGTCACACAACCTCAGAAAGGCAAAGATCAAACACCCGAGGCTAATCCCAAACAGATTCCTGACAGTCGGCAAGTTATGGGTGTTGAAATAGTAGATAACTGACCAGAAGATGAAACCAGAGCTGCTTCAGTTGAAGATGTGAAAGAGGTACAGATTGATGACAGAGATCCAACCAGGAAAACACAGATAGGAACTCGGTTGAGCCTCGATGAGAGAACAGAGCTAATAGCCTTTCTCCGAGCTAACAAAGATGTTTTTGCATGGACCTCAGCAAATATGCCGGGAATTCCCACTTCGGTTTCTCAACATAAACTTAGCACCAATCCACTCAAGAAACCAGTAGCCTAGAAGCGGCACCTCTTCGGGGAGGAGAGATTAACGGTCATCAAAGAAGAAGTTGAAAAACTCTTACAAGCTGGCTTTGTTAGACGGGTCGATTATTGTGAATGGGTCGCTAATCCCGTGTTGGTAAAGAAAGCAAATGGCAAATAGCGGATGTGCATCGATTACACTAACCTCAACCAAGCATGCCCAAAAGACTGTTACCCAATGCCAAACATTGACAAGCTAGTGGAGGCAGCTTCTGGAAACGAGAGATTAAGTCTCATGGACGCATACTCTGGCTACCACCAGATTCCAATGGCTCCTTACGATGAAGAAAAAATCTCGTTCTATGCCGGCGATGAAATCTATTGTTATGTGATGATGCCCTTCGGCCTGAAGAACACAGGTACCACTTACCAGAGGATGGTTACCATTATATTCCGAGCTCAAATAGGTAGGAATTTGGAAGTATATGTTGATGATATCGTGGTGAAAAGTTTAAAAGCTGGAGATCACTTAACCGACCTTGAGGAGACATTCAACAACCTTAGAAAGAACAGAATAAGGCTGAATCCAGCAAAGTGCATCTTTGGCGTGGAGTCTGAAAAATTTCTAGGCTTCATGGTGTCCAGAAGGGGGATTGAGGTTAACCCGGAGAAGATCAAAGCAGTAGCCGAGATGGAACTACCGAAGTCAGTGAAAGATATACAGAGGTTGACTGGAAGAGTGGCAGCTCTTCATCGGTTCATATTGAAGTCAGCAGATAAATGCCTGCCATTTTTCAAGATTATGAGGTCAGCCGCCCAGAAGGATGAATCGGGTAAACAGAAGAAATTTGAATGGAATTAGGAATGCCAAGCCGCATTTGACGAGCTGAAGTCTTATCTTAGCTCACCACCTCTACTAACTAAGGCCATAGATGGAGAGATTCTCTATTTGTATCTAGGAATTTCAGATGAAGCCATTAGCTCGGTCCTGGTGAGAGAGGAAGCCAAACAGCATAAGCCTATTTATTACATCAGTAGTGTGCTGCATGGTGCAGAGCTGAGGTATCCCATTGCTGAGAAAACAACTTTAGTAGTTGTCACTGCGGCCAAGAAGTTGAGGCCATATTTCCAATCACACCCGATCATTATCCTTACAGACCAACCTCTTCGACAGATTCTACAAAAGCCAGAGTGCTTTGGAAGATTAATTAAATGGGCAGTGGAACTGGGGGAATTTGAGATAACATTTCAGCAGAGATCGGCAATCCGAGCTCAGGCGCTGGCAGATTTTATTGTAGAATGCACTCCATGTCATTCAATCTCTAGTCTGGAACCCAATGGCTGGACCTTATATGTTGATGGGGCATTTAGTAGCAAAGGTTCAGGAGTTGGCACTCTCTTGATTGGCCCAGATGGATACTAAAGCGAACATGCCCTGAAATTCAACTTTGATGCAACAAATAACATGGCTGAGTACTACTTGGTCTACAACTAGCATTGGAGTTGAAGATTAGCGCAATTCAAGTGTACAGTGACTCCCAGCTGGTGGTGAATCAAATCAACTCAATTTGTGAAGTCGTCGATCCTGTGATGGTAAAATATGTAACTCTAGTGGCCGAGCTGAAGTGCAAATTTCAGAAGTTCTGTCTGAGCAAAATTCCCCGAGCTGAGAATGAATAGGTAGATTCACTTTCTAAATTTGCCTTGAATAGCTCTTAAAGTTCTAGATCAGTTTTTGTGGAGGTCTTAGATGCACCAAGCTTCATGAAGTCGCGGGTGATGGAGATCAGCACAGACCTAGATACACCGAGCTGGACTGACTCAATCATCTCCTTTTTACGAGACTGGGTAATGCCTGAGGATAAGTAGGAGGCAATGAAGTTGAGGAAGAAAGCATCTCAGTATACACTTGTTGATGGGGTCCTTTATAAGAGATCTTTCTCACTCCCTCTTCTACGGTGCTTGAATCCCTATGAAGTGGAATACGCACTTAGGGAGGTGCATGAAGGTGTCTGCGGAAGTCATGTAGGTGCTCAAACTTTGGCTCATAAAGTCCTTAGACAAGGTTATTATTGGCCCAACATGTACAAGGATGCCACTCAGTTCGTACAGAGGTGTCAGAAATGCCAATTCTTCGCACATCTAATCCACTAGCCTGAAGAAGAACTCACTACTCTGATAGCACCTTGGCCATTTGCTCAGTGGGGTCTTGACTTTTTAGGTCCATTTATGAAGGGGGTAGGAGGTGTAACCCATCTCATCGTTGCTGTGGATTATTTCACAAAATGGGTTGAAGCTTGGGCACTATCTAGTTTTACCTCCAAGAAGGTCGAGGACTTTGTTTTCAGCTTGATTAGTTGCAGATATGTGATCCTGAGTCAGATTGTAGCTGATAATGGAACTCAATTCAATTGCTCCTCGTTTCGAGATTTCTGTTCCAACTACGGGATCAAATTGTAGTTCACCTTGGTTTACCATCTAGAGTCCAATGGCATGGTCGAATCTGTTAACAAATGCATTTTAGAAGGTATAAAGCTGAGATTGGAACAGCATAAGGCCAAATGGGCAGATGAGCTCAACAACGTCCTCTGGGCATATAGAATCACGAGCCGAACTGCCACAGGTATTACTTTAAACGTGGTTTATGTGATTAACTTTACATTATTTTACTCCTTCTGATATGACTTTACCTTAGAGCAAATATGCATAATGCGTAAAGCGCATTCTAAAGTTATAATTAATTGAAATAGGTGAAACACCCTATCATTTGGCCTTTGGTACCGAAGCAGTCATTCCTATCGAGATAGGAGTCCCAAGCTTCAAGGTCACCCATTTTGATGAAGGACGAAATGGAAAACTACTTTGGGAGAACCTTGATCTGCTTGATGAAGTTAGAGAAGAAGCACGACTTCGAACTCTAGTCTACAAGTAGAAAATAGCAAACTTCTACAACAAACGAGTTCGACCCCGGACATTTAAAGTAGGAGACCTTGTTCTTAGGAAAGCTGGTCTAACGGGGTTCGAAACTCGACTCGGAAAGTTAGCACCAAACTGGGAAGGCCTCTACACTGTAGTCGAAGTGCCACACCCAGGTGCTTATATCCTACGGGACACTGAAGGCAAAAGGGTTCCTAGGGTCTGGAATGTCAATAACTTAACGAAGTTTTACCCTTAGTACTTCTTTCTAGTGAACTTTGTCCTATTTTTACAAGCACCATTACCCTATCTGCTCAATGTACGTACGGACTCAATTCATTTATCTCATTCATGAATTTCACTTCACATTCGAAGTGATTTAGTTCTTTTACCCTTCTATGTGTTGGAAGTGGAGTTCACTTATTTCTGAAGTTAATTCATTGTGACTTATTCAGTAACTTCATTTTTTGAGTTACGATTTTATTAATCAATTACACTTTACTTTTGAAGTGATTTACTGAGTCTCATTTGTATATTTGAGGTCTGCCTCATGTATATCTAAAGTCAATTCCCTTGCTGTTCATTTTATTGTGTCCGAGGTCAGATCCTTTTGTTAATTAAAGTCACTTTATGTTATCTGAAGTGATTTACACTGAATAAAACAGCAATCAAAAACCAAAACTGAACACTAATAATAAATTCAAAAATTTTGTAAATTAATAAAAATTCATTACAAAATTGTTCACTAACATAAATCTAACAATACAAAATCAGAAAAATCCCTAAACTATTCCGCTGGCGAAGATGGCTGCTGTGGCTCCTGCTCTGCTGGGAGAGGTGGCTACTCTTTTTCGGAGGGAACTGGATGCACCTCTATAGGAGGAGATGGCTGACTTTTCTCAACTTCAGTCCCTTCAGCTTCTTCTTCCTCTTCCTCCATTGCCACGAACTCGAAGTCAAAGTTGGGAGGAAAAACAGCTCGTCCTTCAGCATCATGATCCCACCTCAGCTTAACTTGAGGTCGGAAATCTGCTGACAGGCTTTCGCCGTCCTCCTCCACCCTTTCCTCTTGTTCACCAAAAGTAATCTTGGTGATATCCACCTTGGGATATTCAGCCTTGACCTTTTTTCTGCAATCAGTGAAGGCGAGGATCGCAGTCGGCAGTTGGTAGAGATTGACAATGTTGTCAAACGTACTGAAGTTGATAAAGTTGCCGATGTGCTCCTCCATCCCGTTGTGGACCAGCAGTTGGACATTCTTTTTCAATTCCACCTCGGATTCTCTCATTCTCCTTATTTCCTCTTCTTGAGCATCATTCTCTTCTTCACACATTCTTCTTTTCTTCTCATTGAATGAGAGAATCGTCTTCAGTGTATCTCTTTCCTCTTGCAGACTTGTCATTGTTGGCACCACGATATCCAGTTCCCTCCTCATCTCACTGTTTTTCTTCAACAACTCATCCCTCGCCTTCTGCAGGCTGTTGCGATCCTTCATCAATTCTAGGAATTCTTGGGCTAACGCGTTAACCCAAGTTGCAGTCTGCCACATCAACACAGCCAAATTAAAAAAAAATGAAAAAAACAAAAAAAAAAGAGAAAAAAAAAGAGAGAAGAGAAGAGATGCAAATCTTACCTCCAAAGCATGCTTCACAATTGTGTTCCCTTCATGCAGCAAGACTTCTTCCTTCGCTTCACGGCGATCCACCTCGGGAATGTACGCGTTGATGAAGTTCTTTGCCACAGAGAAGTTCTTGCTCCCAAAAATGGTGTTCTGGAGAGAAGGCGCAGGCACAAAAGTCTTCCCCTTGCCAGGGGCAGGGACCTTGGTCTCTCTGAGGCCTGGATCAAGCTCCACAGGCGCAGGACGAGGTACGAACTCCACTACCTCGTCCCCCTTGACTTCCTCCTCCACTCTCTTCCTTTTCTGAGCCTGATCCGCTTCATCCCTCTTCTTTTTGGACCTTAGCTCCCCTTCCTCTGCACCACGGGGTTCTGTGCTTGACATCTGCCCCTTCTCCAGATTTTCTTCTCCTTTCCTAGCCATAGCCTTTCCCAAAGTTTGGGACTTCTTCTTTGGCTTTTTGGGGATAGCCACTCCACCAACAGCATTGAGAAACATGTTCATTTCCGCTGCAAAACCACAATTTTGTTAAAAATCACCAATCATAAACAAACTTTTACACACATCACAATACACCAACACACCTTCGCTTAGTGCGCTCGGCCCATAAAGCTCATCCGCTTCTATAGCATCTGAACTGGTGAGAAACATGATATCTACTATGTCACCCTTTTTTCTCACCAGCTTCTCTATTTCTTCCTCCTCATCCCTATTTAAACTGTATTTATTCTGGTTGGCCTTTTTAGCCTTCCAAGTAGCTAGAGACTCCATTTCTGCATCTCCCCTATCCCACTCGGTGTCATCAACAAAGAAAAAATTTTCCTTCCATCCCTTAATGGAAGAAGGCCCTGCACTAAACAAGTTTCTTTTCTCTTTATTGGATGATCGAGGTGTAAAGTAGTACCACCCCTTCTCCTTCCTACTGCCAGCCTTAAGCACAAAAAAGTGCTTAAACATATTTACTGTGGGCACCCTAACCCCTCTAGCCCGATAGTAAACTACAAATCCAATTATCACCCTCACTGCATTGGGCGATAATTGGGTTAAGCCTACACTATACTCGACTAGCAACCACACTAACAAATCAGGTAAAGGAAATCTGAGCCCTGTTGCTAAGTAATGGGCATACACTGGCATCTAGTGATCCTTGGGTGCAGAGCATGCCCTTTCTTTCACTCCAGCAGGCCTAATTAACACTTTAGATGATATTTCATAGCTTTCTACGAGATAACTTAGGCTATCCCTCCCCCTAAGCTTAGACTCATACCCCTTTACCTCAGACACAATGTCTGCCCCACTATCATAACACTTATCCCTCTTATCTCCCACTTCCAAAATATTGACAGGCACCTCTTCTGCCCCCACCTCAACTACCTCATTTCTCTTTACCCCTCCCTCTGTCTGCTCAGATCTAGACGATTCACCCTCAATGTTCACATCACTATACTCCAACATCCTTACTTCCTCGCTCCCCCCAATGCTCAATGTATCCTCAAAAGACATCTCCTTAGTCTTGTAACTTTCACTGCACGAAGTAAGGGGAGGGATGTAGTCAGGATCTTCAAAAAACTCTAACTCACGCTCAATATCACTCTCACTCTTAACCCTAACCTCTTTAAGAAGGCTTAAATCTAAATCAGAAAGGGTGAGAGGCGAATAAAATTCACTACCAGAACTAGAACTACAAAAGTTCATAAGTTACCTGATTTCGATAGTGCAGAACGAGTTTTGAAGTCGAAAAGGCGTCACACAAATCACTCACACAAACACTGTGGAAAATTTGGCAGCACTTCGGTAGCAAATACGGAGAAGGTAAAGTTCTTTTTACAGAAGTATCGCTTTATACACCAAAGGAAATATATGCTTCAATGGCTCTGATTAATTTCATCTAACGGTCACGCTTACACTGTTTCAAATGTGACGGTTAATCCTCAAGGGAAATTTCCAGAACTTGACGGTTCGTTTCTCGTCTCGTTCACTTAACTGTGCAGTTACTTTTTTACAACCCATATTTATTGTGCACGTCTTTTGACAGACAGCTGTCATGTCACGTAAATAACCATACATCAAACTTCTTAAACGGGCCCACTCAAGCCCATTTCAACATTCTTGCTCACTTTTATACATTTTAAAATTTGCAAGTATTTCACTTCGGCTCCGGCCACGGTGACCCAGTGTCGCACGTTTTACTTCGGGTCCAGCCACAGTGACCCAATATCGCACGTTTTACTTCGGCTCCGGCCATAGTGACCCAGTGTTACATGTTTTACTTCGGCTACCGCCACAGTGACCCAATGTCACATGCTTTACTTTGGTTCCGACCACTATGACTCCGATTATTACTTTTTATTGCGGCTCTGGCCACTATGACTTCGGCCATTATTTTTTATTACGGCCTCAGCCACATTGACTTCGGTCATTACTTTTTCCATGGCTTCGGCCCTGATCACTTCGGTTGCCGTTTATTTTGGGCATGACCCCCATCTCATACTGTGCTATTAACTACGGCCTTGCATACATATGAGTTATAGCTTTTTATTTTTATCTTCACTTTAACTTCTGTAAATCCTTAATATCTTTATCTCTCTTTCTTTCTATTTATGCATTACCCCTATCATCTCCAACGACATCATTCACAAGTGAATGACTTCGAGGGGGGAATAATGTAAAGGCAGGTTCGAGGTGCCCAACCTCGGACGTACGACAATAATTCCTTTACAACCAGAGTGAAAAATAAATCCAGAGCTTCCCGCTTGAACAGTTGCATAGCAGTTATGATGGACATCCTCGCATATAAATATCTCTCAATTTCTTGGTCTCGAAATAACCGTTTGGAGATACACATCAGATTCCGAGTATCTTGCTTGGCATGCCACGTGGGTTCCTCATTGGAACCTATAAATACCCCTCAAGGGCCACGTCAAAAAGGTGATTGAAACCAACCCTAAGCTCCTTTTATCTCCGCTCTAGAGGTAGCCCCGATTATTGCTGACTTAAGCATCGAAGTGTCTAACCCGAGGACCCACCTCGGGCTTTGCAGGTCGATCCGGAGTGCAGATGCGGACTGAAGAAGGACATCTAGTTTGGTGCAGTTACAACTAACAAAGAAACTCAAGTTGATTTTCTCCATGATGATTGGCTCCGTCCTGGCCCCCTTGAAAACATTCTTTTTAATCCTTTTCCACCTCAACTCTCCTCCTTTTCTGTGGCTGATGCTATTGCTTTCCCCAATACTTTTGCAGAACTTCATCTTTCTCTGCCTTCTTCTATTGAAACATCGTGACTCTACATCTTTGAACTTGCTAACTCTCATGGGGAGGATTGCATGGTTTGGAAATTTATGCTAAGCGGTTTCTTTTCCTTATCCTCTGCTTATAACCTGGTCTGTGCACTCTCCTTTTCTGTCTTTAAACAATCTTGGCTATGGATTTGGAAATGCCTACTGTTCCAAAAATAAAATTTTTTCTCTGGTTGCTTACTCATGGAAGGATCCCTATTTGATTACTTTTATCCTTTGAAACTCTTTAAATCCCTGTGACAAGATGAAATTTTATAAATATTAATGTAGAATTTTTATCTTGATATTAATGATATTTTTACATGAGTTTTATGAAATTTTTTTAGATTTTACATAATTTTTATTTTTTTTTTTATAAAAAAAGACTTAATTGGAAGACGTCATAAATTTTAGGATCAAATTGCAGAGAACAAAAAGATGAGGATTAAATTGCACAGAAATAGAAGTTATGGACCAGTTCTGTGATTTTATCATTAACTAAAATTGCTTAAAAACAAAAAACCGACACGGAGTTTTCATACAGCTATTTAGTACATCACATGTGTCCATACCTTCTTCAGGGTGTCAATCCCTCAGGCAAATTCGGCATGTCCGCGCCTACTGCATATTATTTGAGTGTGAGTGCATGTCTATGTCAACTAGGATTTTTCCACACTTATAAATATTAATCAAAATCAGACTTGAGAGATTTTGGAGAGATTAAAAGAGAGACACTTAAGGGAAATTTAATATTAAAAAAATTAAAATTTGACATTTAATATTGTTAAATTAATTTTATATATTTATGAATTTTATTTTATAATATCATATATTTTTATATTTATCATAAGATATTTGATTTTTTTAATTAGAAATTAATTTAACCATCTAAAATTATAATCTAGTCAAGTCAATTTTTTTTAGTATATTTGATTATAAACTATATAAGAAGAGATATATAACTCTTCCCTATTCTCAAATTTCTCTCCATTTAACTCAAAACTCAAATTTGAAATTTTAAGTTTTTAACTGTTGAGGCACTCTCTTGGAATTACAATCTAGTTAAGTCAATTTAATATAAAATTTTATAATTTTTATATTTTTAAGCATGTGAGTGCGCAGTTGGCCCTTGTGACCCAATGGCTAGTGCTATTGAAAAAGTGCATATCTCCCTCCCCGAAACTTGCCCCATGATAAAAAAGTTAAAAAAAAAAAAAAAAGCATGAGGGAGTGCAAGACATGATTAGATATGGTAGGATTTAATATCTAAGATTGGATTGGATTAGAATGAATGAAGTGTATCACATCCAATCGTATGTTTAGTTAATTATTTTGATAAAATTAGTTAGATATAAATATTCACATGTATGGGCTAAAATATCCATACAATTCAATTAAACAAATCTCTTTCTTCTGAAAAAGGCCTAATGAACATTTATTGTTATTATTATTTTTATTTGATTTAATAGGCAAGATGTCTCGGGTGAGTTTGCAAGTACTCTGAATTTATTCTATCTTTATTTTAGTTAAAAGCATTTGTGTTAGGGTTAAAATATTCATAAAAATTATCTTTTTAACAATTTAAAAAAAATTAAATATTAGTTAATAAGGTAGGAAATAAATATTTTGATCAATTTAGTTATTAATTATTGGGTAACATATATAACCTTAAAGGTTGATTCAATAGTAACTAAATGTTGTCTTATAAACTAAGTTTATAGTTCAAGTTTTAGAACTAACTTTAACTGAAATTAATTTTTATAAATACAATAAATTGATATAAAGAGTTTGTTGTTAAAATTGCTTAAAAAAATTAATTTTAAGTATGCAAAGACTAACTAATAAAATTAATACCTTTATTATCCAAACAAAAAATTAAATTATACTAAAAAATTTGGGTAACCTATATTATGAAATATTTATTTACTCATTTATTTTGAACACATACAATCCTCCGGAGAAGGGGAATTGGGGATTCCAAACCCAAAGGTTGGGTGTGGTTCTCCTTTTCAACTGGCCTAAAAGGCCAGAAGTTTATCCAAATATTAATTAAAAATATAGTGTAATCTTAATATTTTTGTATATGTAGATAACCACTCCTGAATCACAATAATAGTATTTAAAGTTCAAGTCAAGCTACGTCAATGCCCGACCTATGGGATGGAAGCTGTAAAGGGGAATGGATTGTACTAAGAATCTCAAGCGGGTAGGCTGTTGTCATTGCTGTACATAGTTTTGTGAAAGCCACAATTTCACTAACGTTTTATAGGGTTATAATTTTTAAAAATATATGTATGTAAATTAATTTTAATATATTAAATAATAAATATTAAATATTTTATTAATTATAATTTTTATATAATAAATAAATTAATAAAATATCAATTAAAATTATGTGACCTTTAGAAAAATTGATATGATTATAACCACAATCTTGTATTGATAGCGTTATTAGTAAAAAAAAATTTTATATAGTTCAAAAATATTTTATATTGTTCAAATTATATCCAATTGTATCTGATTGTACAAAATTAAATATTAATGAGCATGAGTTATCTCGTACCATAACGTGAACTTATATTCTCTATATTAATAGTTACTTTTTCACAATCTAAGGTAATCATATATATACTAGTACCTAAAAAAAAAAAAAATCATGTTATTAGTTTATTAGGTTTAAGGAAAATGAAATTGAGAGGTTGGGAATGAAGAATTGTTACAAATTAATTACAATACAGAGATGATAAGAAATAAAACAGATGAGATATATAGGAATTAAAGTCATGCTTTCTCCCACCCTTAACCCTGATCCACCTCCGGCGGCGCCCAGTCTCCCACCTTTAAGCTCGGTGCACAATAAGGATGAGGTAATGCAAGGCAAGCCCACTGGCTCCACTGATCCGCCAAAGTCGTTCCGAGACACCCTCCTTGACGGCTCTGCACCAAAATCGCTGCCGATGGTGACATATGAGGAACTAGTTGAGGCAAATATTACAGAAGCATCCCCTATGGCGGAGGATGGAGTAGATCCAACAAAGGAAAAGGTTCCGAAGGTGAAAATCCCCCAGGCTATTTGGCAGCGCCTGTGTGTGCCGTCATCATTAAGCTTCTGGGGAAATCTATTAATTTCCACATTCTCCATGCTAGATTACTAAAGGAATGGAAAACGGAGCATGAGTATGAGGTTATAGATGTTGGAATGGGATACTTCATTGTATGGTTTGCCACCCAGGAGGATTGCTCAAGGGTTCTGTTAGAAACTGAAAAGAAGAAGAATGGTTTATTGCTTTCTTGAATAATACTGTATGTACAATGACCTATATCTAAGTGCTTATAAACAGTATGTTTTAAGGTATAAAGTATATAAAGATAATACACTACAAGAAAACTCAATTTCAACGACAACATATCACCGATGTAAGAATTTTTCTCAGTGAAGCATCATTTTACCAACAAGAAATAAGTCTAAAAATATAGAAATAGTAGAAATAGCAATAATATATATTATTTATTGTTCAAACGAAATATTTGTCGGTAAAATAACATAATACATACGTGTTCCTTGTTGGTAATTGTAACCAACACCTCGTCCAGCTCAAGGCGGACAGAAACCCAAATCACCGACGAGAAGGAGGCTTGTAAATTTATTTTGGAAACGTGAGTCTTGTCGGTAATATAGCCTAAATTTGCCAACGTACATCTTCTTGGTAATTCCCACTCCAAACCCAACCCTGTCAACCAGCTGGCTGCCTGCATCAGGAAGTGCAGCTTTTTAAGGCAATATTCTGACATTATCCTTGTTGGTAATTTCCCATTTCCCAACTTCCCGTGAATTTGGCTGTTGGCGCATGGTGTTGCAGCTTTTATTTAGCTTACTGATAAGGTTTGGGTCGGTAAGCTATAATTTGCCAACTACATCTTCGTCGGTGATTGGCTCGATCAATGAGGGTTTTGATGCAACGTAGAGATGAGCAGCTTTAGATTGTAGCAATGTGGATCTCGTCAGTAACAATCCCTATTGCCTACTGAATCGCCCTTCTCCTTTCATTTTGGTCTTTCTCCTTTCATTTTCATTTTCCTCTTTTGTCTGCGAGTTGTTCTTGCTCTCCTTTCCTCCATTCTTTCCTTTGAATCACTTTAACATTCTTCTTCTTACAGTGTAGTGGATCAAGTAGTGGTAAGTAAAATTTAAGTAATATTATTATTTTATATATATTTTATGTATGTTTTTTTTTTCTGAAATTTAAATCATTAAATATTGTTATTAATTAGTTCATTAGATATTAGTTAGTATTATTAGATTTTCTTTTAAATAAATTTGATGAATAATTATGAATGGTGTTTTTATAAATTTTTAGTGATTTTCAACCATTAATGACAAAATTTTTATATTAAGCATTTGATATTAGCTAACATTTTTAGATTTATTGTTTTGAGTGTATTTTAGGGTGAATATATATGATTTTTGTGAGTTTTGAAGGTTTTATATAGGCAAATTTTCATGTCTTACCGTTTTCTGCATTTCTTATCTCTTAATTAACTATAAAACATTGTATTTTTCATAGTTGTAGATTAAAAAAAATATTAAAAAAGTTGAGGGACGAAAAGTATGCAAATTTTAAAGTTAAATGACCTAAATTTTTTGGTTAAATAACCATGTTAGTCCTTCAACCTTTTGATTTAAGTCAAAATTATTCTAAAACTTTAAAAGTACTAAAAATATCCTTAAACTTTAATTTTTGGAACCAAAATAATCCTTGAACTTTTATTTAGTACCAATTTAGTCCTTAAAATTTGAAGACTTAGACCTTAAAACTTTGATTATAAGTACTAATTTATTTATTTAACTTTATAAATACAATTAGAAAAATATATCATGATAGAAAAATATAATTATTTGATTTGATTTTATTAATTTTTAAAAAAAATTGATTTTGTGGCAAAATAATGAATATCAAGTAACACGTTGAGATAAGTACTATTTTGGTATTAAATATTAAAGTTTAGGGATAGTTTTGGTATTTTTAAAGTTTATGATAATTTTGATATAAATGTAAAATATTAGGGACTAAATTTGATATTTCAACCTAACTTTTTAGCAATTTAATAATTGGTCTTATTTTGTTGTTGTATCTATTTTAACTTATATTATGTTAATTTTAAATGTAGTTTTTTTAAATTTAATGGTATATATAAAGAAATTTTTAATTGAAAATATATATAAATTAATATTTTAATAATTATTTTGTAGGTTAATATTTGAGCTCTTGTGGATCCTCATTAATTACAAAGTAAGTTTCATTTTCACTATATTTTTATAATTGCATGGTTAAATATTAATTTTTTTATTAAATAAAAAATCAATCATTTGTGTATGATAAATTTTGTTGATGATTAAATTTAACATATTTATATATATGTATATATGATAAATTAGGATTTTAACCAACTATAAAATATGTGAAAGATATCATAATTATTTTGAAACTAATCTTGTTATTATTTTTATTTTATTGATTTAATAAGATTATGGAGGGTCGTAGTTGGATGTATAGGCGTCGAACTCCACGAGGAGAGATATATAATGAGTTTTATAATGGAGTTGAATATTTCCTTCAATTTGCATACAATAGCCTTGGTCTTCAACCGAATGATTTAATCAGATGTCCTTGTACTAAATGCTTTAATTTACCATTGATGACT